TGGGGAAGGGGAATTATGATGCCCCAATGGTGCCCCAAACTCCAGGAGTGTATCGGGTTAGGGATTAGGACTTTCGGCTTAAGGCTTAGGGTTCTGGATGTGTTCCAGCTTTGCAGTACAGCTCTTCATGATGTAACGGCAGCTTTGGAACGTACACGAATGAATTGCACGTCCGTGGATTCAACATGCTTGCACATAAGGATATTCTTTGGGGTTGGCACTGGCCTCACCAAAGTTTTGTACGTAACTTTCCCGGCACCCTGATAAACCCAGCAGGTCCCTTATGAGGGCAGTCATCCCCCAAAGCGCCCCCACTTTAAGTACCAACGTCTGAGAACCGTCTTCCAAAGCCTGCATTTACCGCAGTCACATGTATATCAGATACCCCACCTGCCCACAAGAACCCCCCAGATGCAATTCTAAACCGTTCGCTACGGGCGCCTCCAGCAAAAGCGAGGGTATCATGCCTTACGAGCGGGCCAAGACTGTGATCTGAGGTGCGTTTGCTGTCCGCTTGCAAATCCAAGGGTCGGGATCCTTCTTTGGGTTCACAGGACTGGCTCTACAAGATGGAGGAAGCCTGATGAGGGAGGCTACGATAAGTATGAGATCATCCTCCGTCAGCAGTATCTCCCCGCAAGTCGCGGCCACATGTCACCACATCCAACATCCAGGGCATGTGAGCCATAGTCTAAACTCCTAGTATCCCCCTTAATAATCCCTATAGTGCCAACAGGAAAGGCTGAAAAGGCCGCACACTGCACCCCAAACTAGAAAATTACGGACCTTGAACCACCAAACCCTAGATCCTAAACCGCTTAAGCGTGAACCGTCTGAATTCAGGCACCCGGCTGGGCTCAACCTCCAGTAGCAAAGACTCCATGGCCCAGGCCTAGCGGTCGAAAGAGTGATGAATACTGGGTTGCTGTTAAAGAACTCAATTTCAGTTACTATATTGGGGAAACCATATTAATTACTGTATATACCCATTATGGAAACTTAATTTAAGCTCTTTAACAGCAACCCAGATTACTGATGGTGAGGTGAAGCATCATAACAACCGCAGCGTGAACTCAGCGTTGCTGCAAAAAAAGTGTTGAACTCGCGGATGAAACAATCCACTCATGGTAGCGATGTACCAGGGCAGCTGGGCTATGTACTGAATGTACAAATTAGAAGAGCGTGCTAGATAAATTCTGTAGATTCTCAACTCGTAGGTTTCGTGCCTTCTACACACAGATCCCGGTAACAATGGTGCCAGTATGTACGTTGGTTGAGACGTAACAGTTTTCCGAGTTTTGAGGCGTTGGGCTCATGGTGCGGAAGTTGAGTTTAGAGCTGAGCGGTCAGGACTGGGGACTTAGGAGTTCAGGCCACCAGTACTTAGGAGGTGCCGCCCTCTTGGGCGAACTTGACCCATGGATCTGCCAGCTCACTGTACTGTAAAAGCCTAATCTAGTAATGAGTGCCGAACAGTCAGAGCGCGGGAAAGAAAACAGCAAGGAATTCAACTAGCATAAGAGGTGTGCCACTACACTTTCTCATCACCTCCTCCGCAACACAAGTGGCCAAAACAGGAATCTAAACGCGCGCTTGAGTGCAGAGCTGTGAGGGCAGCTGGCAACTTGCAGGCGTGGCAAAGCTGCAGAAGCTGCAAGAGCCTGGCCAATTCGGTTATGTAGCGACGCACGAAGGCTGATCGTCTAGAAGACTCTTCCGGGTGGGTGGTAAGAAGCTACGAGGCTTTATGACTAAGGGTTTCTGCTTTGAACTTCTACTGATTAATGCTTCAAAGGTAGCCATTGCCTTAGTAGCACTGGCTTGGCAGTGCGAAGGACGAAGGAAAAACAGCCTGACCACAGCCCGCTCAGGTAGGTCCAACAGGTCCCAGGTGCGGACTGGAATTCCGACATCCGAATGGCTTAACCGTAACCAAGTTAGCATGCAACATAGTAGGATGATGGCCTCGTGCATGTGGAATCTAGAGGTTTCTGCTCGCGACAGTTCATGCTTCAGTTGCATTTGTGTGTTGAAGCAGCCTGCGCGTTGCACATCAAGCCCCACTTTAGCATGCCACTGGGCATACCCAAAGGTCTGTTGGTGCGCTCTGTTGATATTCGTAGTCTGAACCATTGACGAGACGACCAGCGTTGACAGGAAACCTTTCCCCCTGAGGTGCTAGATGTCGGGTGGTCGTCCATACAAATGACCAGCATCAACAAAGGGGAGCACCCTTCTGTTGGTCATGTTTAAATGCTTGAGTTGCTAGTTGAGCGTGCGTGGCCAAATGTTGGGTGACAAATTAATACACCCGCGTCAGCTGTGACACATCTGGGAATAAAAGCCGGTATTCTTCTGAATGTCAGCGTCTGAAGTCGTGTCACCATGTCTCACATGGCGCTTCAGAGAAAAGCCCTGAGAAGCCATAGCACGAGAGTGTTAACTCCAGTTTTCAGAAAAAAAAAAGAAGTGCACACATCCGCTAAATACCCTGCAAACAGCGGACCTTCTAAACCATGAACCCTAACCCCCAAATCCCCAACCTAATGAATGAGCCAGTCCATATCTCCGTACATATCCATGGTTTACTAGACCGGATACACAACTTCCTCTCACACGTGCGCTCTGCTAAGAACGTGCTAGGCCAGCAATGACTGTCGACCTCCATTCAAACGGATACGTACCCATCCCCCGAAAAAGTAACAAATCTCGAATTCCTAAATCTTGAGCACCTTCCCCTTACCCGATGCCTTGTAGCGTCCTTCCGGAAGCTGCCTAAGTGAATTCCAAGGCTGGGTTTGTGGTCTTCAGCAATGTTGAGTGATGCCTCCTAGCGGGAGAGTGAAATGGATAACGGAATGATCGATCCTTCGCAGGCCATCCCACGCTGGCAAAAACATTTCAATCAGAAACATCTTCCACTCCAGTTGGAGGTCTACGTTACTGCAACAAGTCTAGCTGCACTTCATGCCAACAAGTACTAAGCCTGGCAAGCCACATATACTTCATCACACTAATTTGGAAGATGTTGGCCAGTGACGGTGAACTACCTTCCTAAACTTACGTACATAAAGCTAAAATTTCGGCGAGTAGAAGGTACTACAAATCTCATGAAAGCCGTGCCACTCTTGGCCCTCCACAAAATGGCCTGAGGCCGAAGAGGTAACACTGGATCATCAACCGCTATGTCAAATCCTTCGCAACTCTTCAGCCTGAATATCAACATAGCACCCCTAAACCACCCTCCCCTCCTAAGCCCTAGACCCTAAAGCCATGAACTCCAAGTCCTGAATCATGCAAAAAGGTCAGAAATCTGACAATACCTCAGAGCAGTGTCATCTAGTGTTTTGCCAGATGTCATCCGCAAAGCTGAGACCAGTGAAGCCTTAAAGCGGACCGGGTGGCAACCGCTGAGGTCTCCTGTGTAAAGGTAGCCGATCGCAAAGGAGACAACCTGCCAAAGCTTCAACACTAGTCTGAGGGTTTATGGTTTAGGGTTGAGGGCAGCTCCCCGTAACATTCTTAAAGTCACCTACAATGTCCACATCAGGCTATCTACTCTACTATACTCTACCAGATAGAAAGGAGGGGGAGGGAACGGAGGTGAGGCTTGCGGATAGCGTTCAAAGGAGATTCTGTCGTGTATATCCCCTTGGCACTTGCAGAGCACTCGATTGACTGTTCACTCTCAGCTCTGTCAAAGATGAGGCCTACACGCGAGACCCTCAACCCACAGCAGTGTTTCGCATGCCTCCACGCTCTCGCATTCCACCTTCAGGGCCTGCAAGAACGTGGTGGATTATGGTGGAATTGTCCCATACGCAGCCCCCTTGTTCAGCAGAACTGCGCGCTTACTATCTGGTTGAAGCATGCAGAACATGCCTCAGCAAGTGGCCATGTTGCGGAGGATTCGGCGGCTTGAAATGTCACAGACATCAGAGCTTTCACTCAATCAAGCCTGATTTGGTAATTGGGAAACCCTAAACTCTATATAACCCTATAACCCCTGTATAACACCTATATAACCCTATATACCCCCTTTGAGCAAACCCCCATATCCTGAAGCCTGACCAGCCTGAAGAGAGCTGCTCTCTGACGGAGTCCGCTCCCTGCCAAGTAAACCGATAGGGTTTAAGGTTTAGGGTGAAGGGTTTAGGGTTGAGGGTTTAGGGTTTAGTGCTTAGGGTTTAGGGGGGTTTAGGGATAGGGTGTAGGGTTTAGGGTTTAAAGGGTTTAGGAGGTAAGGTTTAGTGTTTATAGGATTCAGGGTGTAGGCTTTAGGGATATGACCGCCCCTTCAAAAAAAGGAGGGCTCACCTTGCAGGATCCTCGTGGGTCTTGTACTGGAGGATTTGTGGCGTCCAGCTACTTCAGCTATCCCCCTCTACAATAATCCCAATGTCCATTTCATGTTCAGCTTGATTCTCCTAAACCCTAAATAGTAATTTCAATTCTCTTTTTCATTGCCCCCAAAATTTAAACCCATTTATGCTTTTGAAGATGAAAATTTCATCAAACAACCTTACAATGGAGGAGGCCATGGCATAAACTGGCAGCTGGACCAAGCTCGGGGTTGGGGATAGGGATATATTACCTACATATTATCCCTAGCCTATGTACCCTTTTATATAAGTTTCCATGTTACTATGCTATTTTCCCATCATCCCAAGATAACCCCTATATAGTCGGAGAAGCAGAAAAGAACATGGGCACCTGGCAAGGCAACTTCCCGGTTACGTCGGAGCACATGCGCAAAAGATTTTCCTCAAATTCTGACGGCGGAACGGGTACTAAAACGCAAACGTTGCAGAGCAGTAACCGGCCATGGGCACACCCATCTTATGCGGGTACTCTGCAGGCGCCTGGCAAAAGACTTGTTGCTAGACTGAGCAGCAGCTTAAAACAGATCACCAGTGCCACCATCTTGGCTGCCCATTCATGTTCCGGGTAGCTCCAGCGACATCAAAACTGTAACTTCGGCTGCCTGCCCCTTTGCACAATCACAACGAGCCCATTCTGGACACTTGAAGCACCAGCACAGCAAGGAAAGAGCAAGTACCTACTGCACAGGCAATGTTGCCCCATTTCCTTTTCTGCGAGCCCTCTTTGTTGTTCGCAGCGCTGATACAAAATGTCACGCAACCGACAATAGGACAGCAAAGACTCAAGCCCGTGGCCACCTTTTCACAAGTGGCATCATCTTCCGGCTTCAACGCTTGGCTGCCCATTCCTTGCTCCACATCCAGACTCCTTCCAATTGCCGAGGTCTTCAGCCCACTCCCAACCAAGCTGAAAACAGCGACGCCAGTGTTTGGGTGGTTCATTGGGAAATACAACTTGCTCTCAGCATCCATCAACCAGCCAGGGTGCTCTGGCACAGGCATGGCTGAAATGGTCTGACCTATCTGCACAGTGACCTCAGACACAGACACGTCAGAGACATTGGGAGTCGTCCTTCCCCTGACACTGCCATTGTGAACACACTGCCAGCGCATCTCCTCAAACATTAGGGTCTTGGTCTCCGGATGAACCACTGGCACAAAGAGCCCGTTTGACTCGTTGTGGAGCCACGCAGAGCCATCCTCTGCAGTCACTGATGTGCCGACGAAGGTATCGCCTTCTGAGCAAAGGGAGTCGCTCTTATCTGCCATGGTGGTAGAAGTGCGATAGGCCACCTTGGAGGATGCCTTGACAACGCAACGCCATGCTGCACACTTGGGATTCATGGCTCCGACGCTACGATGCGCAGAAGGGAAACAGGATGTGACTTGCAGAGCCAAAGCTGCCGCTTAGAGTTGGGTTGCTGCTCCGCTCAGTGCTTCTTTCTAGAAGCAAGTAGAGAGATCTCAGCAAACAGAGCTGAAAAACAAATGTTTGCTATACCCCTCCCAACCTCCCAAGTTCTCTCAGGCCTCATGCGCTTCTACCCTCACAGCGAAGCCTACAGAACTCATGAGTACGGCGAGTACTTGTGTGTCATCTTATATGTATATGTGCATTGTCAAGGACTAGATGATAAGCACCCAACACTGAAAGACCTCAAGCAACGTGCATTCTGAGCCTGAGCTGCTGATGCCAAAGAGGAGAGCCCGTGGCAAGAATCACACGGTGCCTAAGGAGGATTGCTATTCTGCCACGTCTGAATTCTGGCTGCCAAATAGTGCTAAGTGTGCTGTCTCAACGTTCCTGCGCAGAAAGCCTGCCCGAGAAATCCAGCGTTATGCTCATAAGACACATTTTCAGAGAAGATTGTGGTATCTTGAGTCAAGACAATGCATAACATCACTGAGACATGGGCGCGTCAATCTTGGACACGGTTCCCTTCCATTGCACCTGGCGGCCGCGTTCCGAAACGAATCCTCAAAGCTGATTGAAAGATTTAGAGGAAGCTGTAGCAACATTTAGGAGTTGCGTATCATTTACAGCTTCGCTGAATCGATAGGGTATCCCTACAACCAAAGCCTTAATCTCTCATCGTCACCTTTGACTAAGCCAGTCACGAGATCCTGAGTCTCCCGTTCCCACACGGGAGTTGTGTCAATTCATCCCGTTTGGGGTTGCCTGCATTGTGTGGACTCACTGTAGTAATTGCACACATCCCCCTCAGAAAAAAAAACTCCCACATCCGCACTAGTCCTAGCCCAGGTCCAGTATCTTCCACCACCTCCACGCAGAGATCCGCGAAAGGCGCAGTCGAAGCAACCCCTGGTTTCAAGGAGCCTGGGCTCAAAGGCATGTCAGACTCCCACAGATATGCCCCCCTGCCCTACTTGGAGCACCCCTACTCCATCCAAATTGAATGCACCCTATGATAGGGTCCAAATGTGTTGTGGTATGTATATGCAATCTGATGGGATGGGGGGCGAACATCTGGCTCTACAGGGGTGTGGTGGGGATGAAATCACATAGTATCGGTGGATGACATTGGTGCTGGTCACTAGCAGGCGCCCTCTCGAATGAGGCTCCATACATTTGGTAAGTGGCGCTTCTGGTGGGGCTGAGCAGACCTGTCAAACCTACGCGAGAAAATGTGTGGCAAGCAGATGTACCTGACTGGTCAGGAGGGACCATCTAGAGATGGTGCTGTTCTGAGTTCTTGCTCCCTCAAGCGCTTTGCCATCCTGCATGAGGCCAGGACTATACTGGTCAAAGGCTCGCACAAATGAGGTCGGCGCAAGCCATGGTGTATCCGCTAAGAGCCACGCTAGACAGGACAAAGATGAGTGGATATTGCTGTCATCCATTGCTTCAACCAGAGTGGCAGCCCAAACCCAAGCCTCCAAGCCCTAAAGCAGGTGCTGAAGTCCTTCATGACACAGTCTCTGCTATCTTGCAATGTCTGTACCTGCATACACTCTTTTCGTCATCAAGGGTAGGTTACACGGTTACACCTCACTAGCAGAGTCAGAGCTTCTGGGATACGCACCGAAGGTACACCACGATGGCAACCTAGTGTCACCTGACGGCAGGCATTTGGCACAGGACTGGAAACAGCCCAGGCTGACTGAAGAGGATCTAAACGCCATTGCTTCACTTGATAGGTGCGACCCTACACTCCCACACTGACACTTCAAAAAAACAAAGTCCTCAAACTCAAATCCTCCAACCCGCCGGGCACCTCCGCGTTCAAAGCAAAAAAGGTTTTCAACATTTTTCAGCCCACAACGTGAAAGACAACCTTCAAAATAGACTAGCAAGCTCCAGGACCAGCCTGACAGTGGCAGAGTGTATACCCACTAGTATGGACACTTCGTGGCTCTAAATGGTTGACCACTACCATTTCTGTTCTTGAGCTACCTTTTTCCCAGTGGCATCATTACCGTCATCCTCATCCGCATTGCCAGCTCGTTGCGTTCTATGCGTACAGGTGCTTACCACTGCTTTATTGCTGTCACAATCATTCTGGGCAAGGCACCAAAGACGGCGCTCAACTGCGGCGGTCGGATCTGAAGCTGTGCTAGATGCCTTGCAGCTTCACGCCGACTTTGCGGGACTCGTGACAGCGAGCAATGTCCATCTTCATCAGTGGGATGGGGATCATCAAGGGCTGATGCTTATGGGGTTCTCATGTCCTCCTGGCTGCAAACAGATGTGAACTTGGCGGGTTGGCTTCCAGCTACAGGCGCCCGGGGACACTTGGTACGCATGTTCAAAGCAAGCCAAAGTCAGCCTGAAGAGGAGCTTGTAGTCAGCCCCCGCAGCCTACTAATGTACTGTCTCAACCCGATACGCAATCAATTTGCCGCTGAACACTGGAACCACTACTCACAACTGCACCTTGCCATGACAGTTCCATATTCGGTGCGCATCAGCGAGTTTTGATTCTAGTCGTTCAAGTCTTGGCACGCCCAACAGAATGGCGACCAGGGCCTGCTATACATGCTCACACCAGTAAAATCCTTATGGTAGAGACCCCTAAAGGAAGACAAAGCCTTGAGAAACCTTTTAAAATCGTCCTGCAAAGGCTGCAGGTACCAACAATTCAACGTTTGGTGATGCAGAGTTTTCTTACATATTCTGTCAAGGAAGCGGAGACTGTTACTGAATCCTCGTTACTGGGAGCCCCCCAAAACGGACCGTAACCTGGGTGAACCCGCAGGTCGAGGCTGAAACCACTCTGATGGCTGGCTGCTGAGGAGATGGCTGTTCCAGAAGCTTCCGGGGGGTGAAGCCAAGACTATCTGCGACCTTGCGGGTCTTATATGGGGATTCCCATAATAATGACTATAGTATTTGGGGGTCTATATTGGGGGCCCCCTATTTAGGGAAACTACCATATACCGTTGACGGACAAAATCCTGCATGACCCCTTGAATCTCCTTCCGCTAGCAAAGTGTGCTCAGGTGCATGCAAGGGTGTGTTTGTGCGCAGTAGCAATTCGAAGAAGCCACCACTCGTCCCTCGCATTCCTTGTATACTCCACTCCAGAAACCTTACCTTATGTGTGTTGAGGGGATAATTTCCCAAAAATAGGGGGCCCCCAATGTAGACCCCAAAATACTCGAGTCCTTATTATAAGACCCCCACAAAGGTACCGCTAATTTTGGGCCATTTTGGGAAACCCTTAGATTTTTCTATGGAGAGTGGGACAGGTTTGGACCTCTCAGCGAAACTGGATCAAGTCTACGCCCGGAATCCTGGAGGAACCCTTTACTGAAGCACCAACAATAGCCCAGAACTCCAAAACCTTGAATCCTGAACCTTCAAACAAAATCCAAGAATCTTTGAAGACTGGATCGCGAAGCAATCCGCGCACTTCGAAATAAAGATAAACATTCTGAGAGGAATGAATGCCGTCATCCATCGTCATCATCATCACCACCATCATCACAATCACCACAATCATCATCATCATCATCATCATCATCACCTAGATCCGTCAGCAATGCTATGTAGGGGCCTGGGTGATTCCAAAAGAAGTGCTGGGGTGTCTGTTGTATTACACCTGTAGAAGCATTATGCAGAGATGCGGTCCCCAACTATTCAAAACACATGTGAGGGTTTCTCAAGCTAGGGGTGCTAGAGGGAACCCTTGGATGTATGGATTAAAACAGGATTATAGGGGCCTTTAGGGATTGCGCAGGGCCAGCTCTGACAAGTACCTGCATCCTGGGCTACCGTGCAGAGAACAGAGATGCCAGCCCCCTAGCCGCGGCATATCTCAGCACCCAGAAGTTCCTGTTTGGTACTTGTTTGTTCTTAAAAAGTTCTTTAAAAGGGTGAGGGATTATGAGATTTCTCGTGGCAATTCAATCCCTCCCTCCTAAGAAGATGAAGGCAAGCTCAAGGTGTTTGGAGCCGTGTGGTTTAGCGCCCGGGCCTGGAGATTTTAGTTCAAGCACTCTGGGTGAAGACTGCGGAATTCCAATTTGAACCACCCTGCTGCGGCCATATCTACGGCAAGGCCAGTAAGAGCCTTTGCTGAACGACCCTCTGAAAGGAATTATCATGCAGAGAAAACCCCTTCTTGCCCAAATCATGGCCTTCATCGATAGCACCCCCTACCTACGACGAATGTCATTCCCGTACAGAAGATGGTGAACTCAGCAAGATGAGAAAGCAATGCAAACCTTGGCCTTCCTGCCCGCTACTTTTACGACCCCCCGCCTCTTCTTTACTGCTCCTGCTACTTCAACTACTTCACTACTACTACGACGACGACCACCACCACCACAACGACGACCACGACCGCGACCACGACGACGACCACGACCACGACCATGACCGCGACCACGACGACGACCACGACCACGACCATGATCACGACCACGACGACGACCACGACGACGACCACGACGACGACGACCACGACGACGACTACTACTACTCATGCTAAACGAGTTATGGTGATGGTAGTCTTTCCGCATTTTAGGTAATTAATCGTCGAGCGCATCCACCACAGAACAGAAACTGTCAT